AATTTGACCAAAGTCACAAAACAAATAAATTCACAGAACCAGAAAATGTAAATTAATACAGTCCTTTCAAGGGCAATTTTGCGATATTCATCAACAACCTTAAAATGTGCTGCTTTTGACCTGGAATTTCAGTGCTGAGACACTATTTTAAAGAAACAGATCTGGACACCACCTGTCGTCACAGAAGACTTCACTTCCATGCAGATATACCGTTCCGGACTGAACACATGCATTTATCTCTACTCTCTCCCAAATCATCACTAAAATCAGAGTTAAAGGATAAAAAACATTTAAAGTTACAAGAAAAAAAACAAAACAAAACAACAGAAGAATCAAGGGAGAGGACAAAGATCAAAAAAACTGTGGGAGATGACAAGCAGAGGACAAAAGGCAGTAAGTGACTAAGCCCATGACAGGAAGATGACTGGACGCTGCAGACAGCCAACAGGCTCCCCAGAGCCCCAGAGAAGCTTAGGAACTCAGAAGAGCAAGTACTACGGTTAACAGAAGAATCGGTCATACACATAAAAAACAAGCAACAAAAACACCTCTGACTTTAGAGGAAACAAAAAGTTGTACACAAAAGCAAACGCAATCACGTGATCATGTTACTTGGCTCGACAACTAACACTATTGATATATTTGCAATAATGCAGACACGACCAAAGCTGCACTGAATCTTCACTTTTCTCTAAGTTAATAGATTCTAAAAATAATAAGTCAAGAAATAATTTTGTTATTTAGAAATATGAAGGAAAATACCAGAAGAAATTGGTTAAGAGTCGAAAATGACTCCAGGAAGACATGTGGCAAAGAAATGCTATTTTTAAGTTAATTCTTATAATATTCCTTGACTTCTTATACTATATAGGTAATATAAGAAAGTAGTTTAAAAAATAATTTGTTCCAAGAAATTATAGAATATTCAGAAAAACACAAATAAGACATAAATCCCCGGGCGCCTGGGTGGCTCAGTTGGGTAAGCGACTGCCTTCGGCTCAGGTCATGATCCTGGAGTCCCGGGATCGAGTCCCGCATCGGGCTCCCTGCTCGGCAGGGAGTCTGCTTCTCCCTCTGACCCTCCTCCCTCTCATGCTCTCTGTCTCTCATTCTGTCTCAAATAAATAAATAAAATCTTTAAAAAAAAAAAAAAAAGACATAAATCCCCTATAAATCTACCAACCTGAGATAATCCCTGTCTATATTTTGGTATCATGCAGCCCTGCTCTACACCTATATTTAATCTACATATTCTAGAAAATTAGTCTCCTCTTAACTACACTGTTTAGTAATCTGCTGTTTTCACTTAAATTTTTATGGGCATTTCCTCAGTAAATACATATATATTTACAACATGAGGAACAAAATGAGTACCCTAGACCAAGTTTTTACGTGAGCTGAAGTAAACACTTTTGGGATAGAGTTAGTCATGTCAATTAAAAGCATATGAATTCAATAATGGATTTACTTTGTTTAAAATGGAATGGGGGGTTGCCTGGATGGCACCGTTGGTTAAGTGACTGACTCTTGGTTTCAGCTCAGGTCGTGATCTCAGGGTGATGGGATCAGGCCCCACGTCCGGCTCCACGCTCCTCTTGGAGTCTGCTTGAGATTCTCTCTCTTCATCTGCCCCTTGCCCCTGCTCATGTGTGTGTGTACACACTCTCTCTCTCAAATAAATAAGTCTTAAAAAATAAAAATAAAACTGAGTGGGAATATATTTCTTTAGAAAAAATAAGGTTAAGGATAACGTAACACATTTTCTATATCTATATCGTGTAACTAGTAAAACGTAAAAACAATGTTTATAATAGAAATTAGTTTGCTTTCTCCAACAAGAGTTCCTTCGCCTGGAAAAAATATTTTCACAACATATTACTAAATTAAAAAAAAAAAAAAGCATACACAGTATGATCCCTAATTTTTCTTTTTTTAAAGATTTTATTTATTTATTTGACAGAGAGAGACACAGCGAGAGCGGGAACACAAACAGGGGGAGTGGGAGAGGGAGAAGCAGGCTTCCCGCTGAGCAGGAAGCCCAATGTGGGGCTCGATCCCAGGACCCCGAGATCATGACCTGAGCCGAAGGCAGACGCTTAACGACTGAGCCACCCAGGTGCCCCCCTTATTTCTTAAAACGTAAACAGCATAGGGGGAAAACAAACCTGCGAAGACATACCAAAATATCAACAGTAGCTCTTTCTTAGTACTATTATGGATGATCTTTATTATTTTCTTCCTAATGCTTTTCTAAATTTCCTTAATTGCACTGATATTGCTTTTGGAGTCAGAAACTTCTAAAAAACGATGCTATAAATGAAAGAGAGCAAGGGTGTGAACAGTTCAAACGTGACTAATTTGATAGCTAGACTTGTTTTTACATCTTTTGTCAATTCCCTCAACGCACTTCCATACCATCCTGAAACTCTCCTTGCTGCTGCCTGGTCTTCTGTTCTTACAGTCACCAGTTCCCGAGCCTCCACTGTGCACCAGGCACTGCTCTAGTACCAGTGATTCAGCAGGGAACAAAACAGATGAAATCTCTCCTTCTTTGACAGGGAAGACAGATACTAAAACACTTGGAACCAAAATACACTTTTAGTGGCCACACAAACATGAAAATACAACAGACACACACATGCTCCTACTTTCAAGTGTGAGGAAGAAAAAGTAAAGGACAGGTGGGAAGAGATCACTGTTTTAGTCAGGGCGGGCCTCCCGAGGAGGGAGCCCCGAACCGAATGAAGAGAGCTGGCCATGCAAAGATACGGGAGAACAGCTAGGTAGGGGGAGCAAGTGAAAAGGCCTTGAGATGGCCTCGAGCTTGTACAGAACAGCAGGGAAAAGACCAGTGTGGTCAAAGTGGAATGAGCAAGGGCGAGGGCACTGGGTGATGCAGAAGTAGGCAGGGGTCAAATCATGTAGGGCCTTACAAGTCCAAAGGGGTCCTGAAATTTATTCTAAAGGTGATGCAAAGGCACTGAGTTTTAAAAGACCACTCTGCCTGCTACATGGATAACAGATTGTGTGAGGGAATGCAAGAAAGCAGGAAAACCTTTGAGGAGACTTTACAGGTGTTCAGGCAAGAAACAATAATGGCCTGGACCAAAGTAGTAGGGTGAGAGGATGAGACATGGTCTGACATGGATATACCTTGATGGGGAATCCAATATAACTTGATGACTTACCATCAGGAATGAGGAATCATAGGTGATTCGTAGGTTCTTGGCTAAAGCAACCAAGTGAATGGTGGTGCTATTTACTGACTGGGCTGACTGGTAGAGAAGCAAGTATGTAAGTGGCAGAAATCAAGAGACCTGAGGCGCCTGGGTGTCTCAGTCAGTTAAGTGTCTGACTCTTGGTTTCGGCTCAGGTCATGATCTCAATCAGGGTCGTGAGATCGAGCCCCGCATTGGGCTCCGTGCTCAGCTTGGAGTCTGCTTGGGATTCTCTCTCTCCCTCTGCCCCTCCCCCCACACTCTCGCTCGCTCGCTCTCCAAAATAAATAAATAAAATCTTAAAAAAAAAAATAATTCAAGAGACCCATTTCAGACATATTAAGTGTGAAATGACCACTAGACATTCAGGTCAAGATGTCGAGCAGACAATTTTACCCAGTTCATGTCTGTAATCCATGTGTAAGTTGGGGATGAAGAGGTGTAACTGATATTTAAAGATATGGGACTAAATGCTATCTCCTAGGGTGTGAGCCCCAAAGTCTGCTAACTTTAGAGGTGGCTAAGGGGAAGGGGAGTGACCAGTGAGGTGTCCCAGAAGCCAAGTGAATAAAGTGTTTCCAGTACCAGGGTCAGAGCTGCTAGGAAGTAGAGCAGGTAAGATAAGGACTGAGAACTCGTGACCTTGATAAAGGGGGCTTCAGCAGAGTGCTGGAAGAGAAAAACCGGTTTATGTTCAAGAGAGAACTGGAAGAGGGGCACCTGGGTGGCACATTTGGTTAAGTGTCTGACTCTTGGTTTCAGCTCAGGGCATGATCTCAGGGTCATGAGATCAAGCCCCGTGGCAGGCTCTGCGCTCAGCACGGAGTCTACTTGAGACTCTCTCTCCCTCTCCCTCTGCCCCCCCCCGCCCTGGCTCTCTCTCTCTAAAATAAATAAAAATAAATCCTAAAAAAAGAGAGAGAGAGAGAACTGGAAAACAACAGATAACTCTTTCAAGTCATATGTATTGCTTTAGGGACAAGAGTTGACCACTGTTTCTCTAGCATCTTGCTAGCTCTCAGCACAGAGTACATGTGAAGCAAGCATTACCAAATAAATGCTGAATCTAAAAACGCCCAGTATTTCAAACCATATTAAGAAACCTGAATGGTTGAGAGCTAGAGAGCATCCTGACCATCCCATTCTGTTCCTAACATCATTCTTTATGTTCTTCCCTCCATAAAGAGGATGAACTACAAAAACTTGAGTTTCCCCGGGGTACCTGGGTGGCTCAGTCGGTTAGGCATCTGCCTTCGGTCATGATCCCGGGGTCCTGGGATCGAGCCCCACATCGAGCTCCCTGCTCAGCAGAAGTCTGCTTCTCCCTCTTCCTCTGCCCCTCCTTCCTGCTTGTGCTCTAACTTGCTCTCTCGCTCTCAAATGAATAAATAAAAAAATTTTTAGAACGACCCTGAGTTTCTCTTCACCTTTTATAACTTGGTACATATCCAGGACCAAAGTAGCATTGTGACTGGTAGCTGAACCAAGAGAAAAGAAAAAGGCCTTCCCTTTCTGCTCCCCAATTTTCCAGAGATTATACATAATAAAGTCAACAAATTATAAACATGTCACCAAACGGTTAAAAAAACAAACAGTGGTCAAGTTATTCAAACAAAACATCTTATTCCAAACCTTCTGCTGAGATCTTAAAAACAGCCACTTAATTCCCCAAATGGGTAACTGGCCCTCCCCCAATTCAGGTACCTCGCCGTCTACTGCAGTGTTAAGAGTGAAGCTCTGAGGCAAAAAGGCAATGTCCAGAAAACAGTCAGGTTTCCCTACCTGACAAAATGTCTTCTGCTAATTCCTTTTGTCTTTCAATTTTTTCCTCTAGAGTTGAAATGCAGAATTCATAGCCAGCAAGAGCAAATTCCTGTCTGTAAAGCAAAGATCAGCAATCGGCTGTTCACCTTTTTACAAACTCCTCGTTTATTCGCATTTTCCGGGCTTGGGTGTGAGCATTAGCAACACGGGGAGTGTACGACGGGAAGAGGGAATGCTGCTTAAAGTTTCTAAGGAGTCTCAATCTGCCATTTTGCAGAAGTTTTTAGTCACCCATGTAACCTAGCTTAAGACAAAAAAAGCTAAGAATGCTGCTATAATCTTAGTAAAGGACAGAACCAGTGGCTTCCACCATCTCCCAGCAACGGTTTCCAGTGAGTCAGTTTCTCCATTTGGGAAAGCCTTACACCCACTCAAAGCAATACTGATATGAACGGAGGCTCAGGCCACCTGCACTAAGGATGCTGACTACAGATCTCATGCAATTTCTGGAGAGGTTTACTAGCTTTGTGACCTGTTAGGTCTTCAGCGGGGAAGCTTCTTTTAAATACATGGAATTCCTGGCTATGGCACTAGAAGGCACTGAGCCTGAATCTAGCCTGGGACCCTCGACCAATTGGAGAGGACATGCAAACATCAGGCAGACGGACTCTGGAGAGAACAAGTGTCAACTGCTGGTTTCTAGACAGACATGCACGGACACAGCAGAAATTCCTTCTCCATCCAGAAGCTCAGCCCTGGTTCTTGTCTTCCATGGTGGCTCTGGTTTCTTAGCAGAAATGGCACTACCAAGCTCGCCCCTTCTCCTCTAGTGCTTTGCCGGGGAGAAGAGACGACCCCACTGCTGTACTCTGTTCCCAGAACAGAAGCTTCTCCAGACCAAACTTTGGCAGGAGGGACCCTATCCAGCCGGGACCTGGAGCAGGGGGAGGCTGCCCACTTGATGTTTCTAGTCAGAGCAAAATGTCTAGAAACAATTCCCTTGCTAATATTAGCCTTCCTAAGCCCCAAGTCTAGTTATATATATTCTGGTCTCATTTTTCTCTTAATAAAACTACACGAAAAAACTATTTTTGACAAGCGTACAGAGTAACTAACAGGCTAATTATCAGGGGCTACTACTTTCACTTGTACGAGACCATGAATTCGTCTTACTCTCCACTGTGATTAGCTTCGGGCTTCTTTTTATCCCACTTCATAGCCCATTGGCCTCCAGTTCTGTTTGTGACTCCTCCAAGAGAGACTGATCCTAGCTGCAATGCTCCCCAGCACGGGCCAACCTCAAAGTGCCTCAAAAGACTTGAAATCAAAGGCCCGTAGAAGTTCCAGCCCATCTAGTGTCCAAGCAAATGCAGGGAGCGAGCAGGTTCTGTTGATAAGGAAGGAGCTGGGACCAGTGCCAGGGACCCTGGGCTCAATGAGCACTCGTTATAGCATTAGGTTTGAGGTCATTCCAAACCTCTGGTACCCAGCTACTGCAGCAACTAAAAACCTAAGGAGAAGTTAGTCTTAGGTCCTCCCTAAACGCACTCCAACATATATAACTCTCTAGGAGTTCTTTGCTTACATCCTAGGTGTTTCTTCTTTGAACTCCACCTAGAGAGAATGGAAGGCACGAGGCCTCACTTATCGGTGCTCCTGGGACCATTTGCACACATCCGATTTATCTTCTAAAGCCTTTCCTGTGTAGCAGGAAGATTCTTCTTTACAAGATTTCAGACTCATCTAATACTTTTAAATTAACACCAATTTCCTATCTTACTTATCCAGAGCTCGCTCACTCCTCTACTCTGAGGTATTTCCCCTTCTTAAACCTCGCTACCTGATCACCTTTACATGCTTTAAAAACACTGCCTACTGGACTAGCCACTGAGACACTCCCATACCAACTCCTTCATCACTCAACTACGTATCTACCTTCCTGGTTTGTTGATGCTTATATCCCAAAATGGTTCTTTTAAAGTATACTACCCCAACGGCTTTTACATTGCTCCCTCCTCTTCCAGGCAGAGCTAAACTAGTTCTAACTGTAACTTCCCTTCCCAGTTCAAACAGGAACAGAAAAGCTGATTAGCTTCAGGGCAGCCAGAGGGGTGAGGGCTGTCTGCCCCACTCAGCAGGCTACTGGAAACAGCGGGGCAAAACTAGAAGACTCAAGACCTCAAAGATGGGGTGCGGGGAACACTGTGAGTGAGACACCCAGTTTTTTTGAGACGCAGATGATTGGAAGCCAAATGAAAATTACATAACATCCTAGGGTTAAAGTTCTCTGCCCATAGCCCAACTCCCTGGCTGCCACCACACCTGGATTCTGACTCTACTTACCTATTTTGAGCAGCATAGATACTGGCCAGTTTTAGGGAGATTTCAATTATTGCATTGTCTTCCTGTTGGGAGAAAGGAAATGAAGATAATTCACAACATGTTAAATTTCCTCATGGATTATTTCTGATCAACATCTAGAGAGACTTTGGTCTAAAAGCCATAGTCTTTACCCTTCTGGAGGGATTAGGCAATTGGATCCCTCAGCAACCATGCTTTTGCCCCAGTGGAAGACTGGTAGTTGTTATACAGGTCCGAGGAAAAAAAAATAATCCACCTTTTTTCACCAAAGCACATGGTGGGGGCTGAGCGGAGTTTTCAGGAAGCAAAACTATTTTGAAAACTGCTCCAGCTAGGGCCCAATTCTAGGCAATGTCCTTACCTGTTGCATGCCCCCTCCAAGCAGGTAACTCATTGTTGCTTTAAAAAGTTTTTCTGCCTAAAAGCATAAGGAAAAGATTTTTCTTTTACTTGGGACCCTGGATTCTAAGTACTAGTCTGATGCATCATCCCCTTGTAAAACACAACACACACACCTATATACACAGAGCAAAATATCCTTGTGATGGGAAAACAGACAAAAATACCAGGACCCCACCTCTTCTGGGCACCTTAAAAACTACTCTGTAATGAATAGAAACCAACTTCAACTAAACCTACTGTGGCAGAGACTGCAAACTATCCCCTAATTATTCACTCTCCTGTCCTTTTAGTTACAACATCTCCTCAGTTTTTAACAGATCAGCCTCCTTTGCACTTCGGTATGGTCATACGATGAGGTTTTGGCCAAGGGATGCAGGCAGAAGGAACGCAAACAATTTTTAAATTCTATTTTATAAGGAAGCTGCCTGCCTGCCCTTTCCCTCCTCTGCATCCTTCCTGGAGGCTGGGAGTGAGCTAGCTCACCAATGCAGACGAGAACACATCTTAGAAGGAACTCAGGCCTGTGGACCACTTCATGGAACAGAGGTATCTACCATTCTTCAGTGCATAGCTAACTCTGGAATAATGCATTAAAAGAAATACACCCTCTTGTTTGAGTCACTCTATTTTGGGGTCTCTTTGTTACAGCAGCTGAGCTTGTACCCTTACTAATAAGAGTTCTCTGGAAGCTAGTCCTTCACAAATTCAAAATACCACAAAGTGGTTTTACTTACTTACATTTTCAAGTTGACCCCGTATAAATGCTAAGTTGGCCATCTGAAAGGAAATTACAAATTGTTTTTCAGTTTAGAGCACTGCATTCTACTTACTTCAAAACCCTTAAGCTAATGACCTTCTTTTACCCTCTAAACTAAAAAAAAAAAAAAAATAGTTCGAAGAGAAAGGTATTTAATTTGCTAAAATCAAAGCACAGCAATAGTGTATGTAAATAGTTGCACAATCTTTGCTGATGACAAACCAAATCTAGATCCAATCATCACTGAAAAAACAAATACTAATGACATTTATTTTTGGTGTGAGATTTAGACTTCATATAAGTGAAGAGTAATAAAATGTTAGTACCCAAGGGTAATAAAAATTGAAACCAAAAGAAAACGTAGTAAAAACAAAAACGAAAGAGCTTTACAACATCCTGAAAGTCAGGAGCATAAATCAGGAGAGCGAACAACCCTTCTCTTGCATCCACCCTTCATCACCAGTGGCTCAGATTGGTTAGAAGAGTTACCAAATCATAAGTGTAAGTGATGGCCTTCCTGTTATCACTCTGATAGGCAAGACGAAGAGCGTCATGTAAAATTAGCTCAGCCTCTTCTGGCTCATCTTTCATGATGCTCAACTGAAAAGAGAAAACAAAGAAAGGAATAGAGAACGAAATGTAAAGAAAGCAGATGTATGTGCTACCAGACTGAAGGGATATGGCCATACATCCCAAAACACAGAAGACAGCTCTCCATTCATTTGTCAAATATTTATTGAATTCCAACTATGCACCAGGCTTTATGTCTACAATGGTGACAGGGAGGTCAGCTTCCCTTGCAGCTATGTGCAGCCACATGGCAAAGTTCTGGCCAACAGATGCAGACACCAGGAATGTAAGCAATTTTTGCATCCTATTTTATAAGGAAGCTGCTTGCCCTACATCCTCTTCTTCCCTTCCTACAGGCTGGAAATAACCCTGTAGGACAAATAAGCTTAAAAACAGCTGATATAAACTATTGAAGAAAAGTAACGGGAAGGAACAATAAGGGGTCCCCTCTAAACGGGAATCAGAGAAGCCTTCCCGAGGAAGTGACAGTTAAACTGAGGTAGGAAGGATGAGAAAGAGTCAACCAGGAATTATGGGGAATAATGACCCAGAGAGTAGGGGATGAACAGAGGCCCTATAGGCCGAAGAGAACAGTCTTCAAGAACCATTCAAGAAATGAAAGGAAACACATGTGAAGGGGAGACGGCGAGCCAGAGGATTACTGCTAAATGGGTGGGCAAGGCAGGGTGGTGTAGGTTATGTAGGGTCTTGCAGGCCATGGTAAGGAGTTTGGATTTTATAATAAATATAGTGGGAAGTCACTCAAAGTTTTTAGGCAAAGAGAATACAATCTAATTTACATTTTTTAACTCAAATATTCTTTTAAGATTTATTTATTTTTAGAGAGAGAAAGTGTGCATGAGGGGGGTCCTCAAGCAGACTCCCCATCGAACAGGGAGCCGGAAGTGGGGCTCAAACTCACAATCCTGAGATCATGACCTGAGCTGAAATCAAGTCGGAGGCTTAACCAACTGAGCCACCCAGGCGCCCCCCAATTTACATTTAAAAAAAAAAAAATGAATTCAGGCTGCTGCATGAAGAGTGGGGCAACAGGGCAGGCAAGACTACCAGACGGCAGGCTGTGGCAATGGGGCCAGGAGGACAGCAGAGGACAAAGAAAAGGGCAGATTTCAGAAACACTTTGGATTTGCTGGCAACAGGGGCTGTTGCTGGGCTGGAAGTGTACTGAGAGGCAGTGGTAAGGCACCCTCAGGTTTTAAGAATGACTAGGTTGCCAGGCTGAAAAACTGGGTGGACAGTAGCAAAGAGAAGATGGTGGAGGAACGTGCTGGGGAGGCCTCTGCGATCAACAGTCAGGTCTGAGGGGCAGGTGAGGCCTCAGAGTGGGGAGGGCATGTTAGTGGCACACCGGAGCACGAGAATATAAATCTGGATGTCGTGAGCCCCGAGGCGGTAGCGAGCCCAATGGCAGGGACGAGATAACCTGAGGAGGACAAAACAGAAAAGACTGTGCAGAAAAGGAAGACTTTAGAAAGAACAGAACCAACACTCAAGTGCATTTTCTGGACGCTCCATACGTGCCCAATTCTCGATGCCAGCCCCTTCGGCTTGGCTGGCTCCCTGATAAAAACAACTACATTTCCGCTAATTTTGCTTGGATAAAAGAGCGATGCCCGTGGTGCCACCTCCATCTGCACTGGGGACTGCAGCGGTTTGACTGCAGGCTCTGGAGTCTGACAAGCCTGGATGGATGCCAACACCGCCCCCCCCACCCCCCACCATGACCCATCGAATTCCGGGCAATTCTACCCCCAGAGCCCCGGTCCAGTCTTCGGGAAACTGGAGCGAGCACTGCGCACCCCCGGGGCCAACGACCAGGCCTCGATCGAAAAGGCCGCCTCACCTTGGCTCGCTTCAGCAGCTGGATGATCTCGGCCTCGGCCTCGTCCGCCGCGCCCTCGGCGGCGGCCCCGCCCGCTCCCTGCCGCTCCTCCTCCTGCTCCTCTGCCGCAGCGGGCCTCGAGAACCAGGCGAGCGCTGCGGGAAGGGGCTCTGAGGTCACCGGGCCCGGCCTGCGCCCCGCTCCCCGCCC